AATAATAATTTATAAATTATCAAGGGTTCATGAGGAAGGGGGAACGGGGAGGGAGGGGGAAAATGAGCTGATGCTAAGGGCTTAAGTGGAGAGCAAATGTTTTGAGAATGATAAGGGCAATGAATGTGCAAATGTGTTTTACACAATTGATGCATGTATGGATTGTGATAAGAGTTGTATGAGCCCCCAATAAAATGATTTTTAAAAAATAAAAGAACCTCTCAGTTTAAATTTTTTTTAAAAAAGATACTCTCTATAAGGGTTGCATTTAAATAAAGTAACACAGAAAAACACACAAAAAGGTTAGAAAATGTCTCAGAAAAATACTAACAAAAAGAAGGCACTGTAGCAATATTAATAGGTGATAAAATAGACTTAATCTTAATGAAAGGTATAATCCAAGAGTCACAGTTATGAATTTTTTAACAGTTTCATTAGCACTTTATCCACATGCCATGCAATTACAATAATTCAGTCATGTGAAAAAAAGAGTAAAATTGTGTTCAATTTTAGAACATTTTCTTCTTCCTTGTAGTGATTGTTATTCATGTATTATTTTTTTCTAATTTTGGCAAAAATAGACATAACAGAGCATTCTCCAATGCCACCACTTGTACTTGTATAATTCAGTGTCATTGATTATACCACTATTATAGCCACTATTGATAACCTTTCTGAATTATTCTACCACCATTGACAGAAACTCAATGCCCCCTACTGTTATGAATGTTCATGAACATAACTGAAATATATAAAGGAAACTAAAACAAAAACTGGTAAAATACAAGCATAGATGAACAAACCTACAATCTTGGGAAACTTGAGCAACAGATCAAGTTGATATATATTTAAGTATATTTAAATAAAGAAGTTAAATAACACAGATAGCAAGCTTGATAACAGAGGATACACACTTGCAACTGCTGATTTTAAATTACTCCAGACAATAAAATGGGAATGTGTTGAGTTATTTTCCTCACAGGGAAATGACGAACGTCGAAACTTGTATCTTGATGGACCTGCCTGGCTTGTTTGCTCTCTCCTAGGGACTGCAGCAGTAGGACACACAGATAAGATTGGGCGTTTGAAAGAACTCTGTGTGCAGCATGACATGTGGCTTCACGTGGAAGGGTGAGTAGAGGTGAGGTTGGCTCCATGCTGGGTATGGCCATAGCACTTGTGCAACGTGGGCATCTAGACTCTCATTTTGTAATGACATTTGTCACTCTCCCTTGCAAACAACAAAATAACCCAAATTGGCTTAATCAAAAGGAGATTTTTAGTGACTCAATAACTAAAAACAGACATGTTGGGTTTGCTATAAGCGCAGTGTTGACCAGAATATTCCCTCTCTCTCTCTCTCTCTCTCTCTCTCTCTCTCTCTCGTTTTCCTCACTACATCACCTGACTCAGTTTCCCCTATGTTCATTCCATTTATAGTTAGGCTTTCCTATTATGATGTAAAGCAGCTCCAGTCTTCAAGTTCACGTTCAGTGGCCAGAAGGCCCAGCAAAGATCTCGTGCTGAACAATTTCTATGGCCAGATAAATGTAACTCTCTAGTCCTTTAGGTTATTTGCCCACCTCTGAAATAGGTGTCTCCACCACCCAAAACTCATGAACCAGTAGAAGATTGGGGTGGTTTACCAGGAGACAATTAGCACTATTAAGAGAAATGGGGAGAGAGTGCAAGGTAGCACAGAATAGTTCATATCTCTAATATTATACAAGGTAGGTTTCATTTTTATCCCTCTAAAAAAGAACTGTCACTGAAAAAAGATAGTTGTGAAAGATTGAAAATAGTACACCCATTATATGAGATAAGTTTGAAATCTATTTTGATTGAAATAGGTTTTCAAAGTTTTCTTGAAATTTGTGTAAACTGAGGAGCTGATGCCGGGGGCTTAGTGGAGAGCAAATGTTTCGGGACTGATGAGGGCAACGAATGTACAGATGTGCTTTACACAATTTATGTATGTGTGGCTTGTAATTAGAGTTGTTTAAGCTCCCAATAAAATGATTAAAAAATTTGTGTAAACCCCATTTTCTGTTGCTGTTATAAACTAGTAACACAACCTAAAGACGTTTTAATATCAGCTTATAACAGCACAGCCTTTTAAAAAATGTAAATACTTTTTATGCTAATTATAAAAAATAGTGAATAATTAATTCTTAAACTGGTGTTTTTTCTTTCAGTGTGAATCTGGCAACATTGGCTCTCGGTTATGTCTCCTCATCAGTGCTGGTATGTTGCTGATTTTAATGCATGTAGGTCTTTGTAAGAAAACATTTAGAATCATGTAATTCCTAGCGTCTTTTTGCTGTTGTTATGAAGGGAAGTTTGAGTTTGAGTTTCATGTAGCTTCGTGCATAATTTAACACAGCATGATTCTCCTTTTGGTAGGCTGCAACCAACTGTGACAGCATGACATTGACTCCTGGCCCATGGCTAGGTCTGCCAGCTGTACCTGCAGTTACCCTTTACAAGCACGATGATCCCGCCTTGGTAAGCTGGTAGTCATCATTACAGAGGAAAACATAGAAAAACTAAAGAAGAAAATGAAAACATTTACTTCTTTCTTCTTTAATAAATATATCTGTTGTATGTAGAAAAAGAATGTTCAGAAACTGATTGTGGTAGCAATTGTACAATTCTACTTGATGTGATTAAAATATGGAATGATATATGTATTAAATCCCAACTAACAATTTAAAAATTTTTTAATATAAGTAAAATCTTCCTATGTACTTTTTGTTCTCCTCATGCTTCTCCGTCTATATGAAGAACTTTTGTGTGTGTGTGTGTGTGTGTGTAGGAAAGAACTTTATATACAAGAGCAATTGAATATTGAGAAAACATCTCAGCCCAGTCCAGATCAAATCCATAGGTCCAATATCAGCCCATATGTCCAATAACAATCTATATTGGAGGACTGTCCAATACCAGTCCTCTTCAGACTCACGAAACACATGCAATGACGCCAAATGCAAGAAGATCACAGGCCAGTGGGTGGGAAGTCTTGTGGATCCAGTGGCATTGTAAGCATCTCATCACTGGCAGGGGTCTCCATGTGGCTTCTCCAGCTCAGGGCACTAGCATAGTTCCTTGTGTCTTGTCAGCTGCTATGTCTAATAGCTCCACAGGAGTTTGGCAAACTCCGGACAGCCATGATCTCAGCAGCCTGGTCCTCAGAGAGTATGAAGAACTTTTTAAACAGTATTTGTTTCTTTAGTTAACAATTTCACACAAATTTTTCAATGACATTTGCTACATTTTTCACAATGTGTATTTACTTGGTGTTCTGGTGGTTTCATTTCTAGTGCTGTAGTTTCCCTGTATCCTTAGCATCTTGTTTTTGCTTTAGAGTAAATGTTGACTTTGTGTCATTCGTGTATGCATAAAATCCTTTATTTGTATGCCACTCTGTTATTTGCTTAAAATGTGATAGCTTCCTTCATTTCAAGATTTATTGAGTGTCTCAGTGCAGTAGTATCAGAGAGCCCTCTGGTCTTAACTGATCCAGTTAAGCTGCCTTTTTTCTTTTCTTTCTTTTTTTTTTTTGTAAGAATTTGAGGCTTTTTCAAGAATTTGAATTCTACATTTTTCTCTGATTATATCTAGAACCAGCTGTTGTGACCCCAGTCAGAACTGACAGTGGTGGTAACTGGCCATTATATGGTTCTTCTGGTTCCAGAGTAGTTGAAGTCATAACTTATATAGGCTTCCAGTCTTGTAGACTTGTTTTAGTATGAAGAATTTTTAGTGACCTTTTATGGCTGCATAAGAGCTCAAAGTAGTACATAATTTTTTCAGTTTTTCTCCATTTGTCAACTCTGGGGACATCTTCAATTTTTTTTCTTTTTATATTTCAAATTATTTTCTTCAAGTAGGTTCGTAGAAATGGAATTATAGTATTTGAAAGTTCCTGTTCTGTGTTGTCCAAAAGGTTATAACAGAAGTTTTTAAAGTCATATTGTTCTTGATAGGTTACTAAGTGATAGGCAGGTGTAACATAAACTTTAAGTGTTAACTGGAAGACGGTTATCTAAACAGCTAATGTCTTGCTCAGCTGGTATTTGAGAAAACGCAATCTTAGGGCTGTCTTCCGAGTGACTAAGAACTTTGACTTTGGGATATGCCCAATCTGAATTTTTACCCTGAATGCCCCCCTCCATAGCCATGAACCTTTGGGCAAAGCAAGATTTCTGAGCTCAGTTGTCTAGAGTCCTTACCTAGTAGACATGTTGGATGACCAAATAGCAATGGAAAGTGACTCTCATAGTATATGTCATGTGCAAAATATAGAGTAAATGGTAACCGGGTGACTCTGTTCTATGATTTCAGCGCTTCAATTAGTGAACCCATATTTTTTTTTTCAGACTTTAGTTGCTGGTCTTACATCAAACAAGCCAGCAGACAAACTCCGTGCCTTGCCACTCTGGTTGTCTTTACAATACTTGGGTCTTGATGGGACTGTGGAAAGAATAAAATCTGCCTGCCAACTGGTGAGTAGAAATGAGTCACCAATATTCGGTGGCAAAATCAGGGGCAGGAAAAATACTTACAAAAATTAAAAACACTTCATTTATTTACCCATCTTCTATTAAACTCATTGTATGCATAAGCAAGCAAATTAATTGCCCTGCACATATGTGCTGCTTGTTCAGAGTTATGGATGACTGCTCAATCTGTCCGAAGATTTATGTCCAGAAGTTATCGTGGGATGAGAGCAAAAAGTCACAAAATGACAGTCAAAGAGTAGAGAAAGATGGACAGAAAGGGATACATGTGCCGTGTGACTGACTGACTCTTAAGGATGAGGGACTATGAAGTTTTGATTATGGATTGTGTGTATATTTTTAATATCAGCTGTCTAGGGTTCCTGAATTGTAGGGCTCTCAGGACAGTTATAATCCATTGTCCATTCATTTGAGGTATTTTAATTGTGGAACATATTTAATTATACTAAATAAAGAAAATAGACAACCTATTTATGCAACTTGAGAGCTAACCTTGTACTAAAGCTTAAAAGCACATCTTTCTGCATCT